AAAATATCTATACTAATTATGCTCTACCGTTCATGACTGGATGTCACAGGACTGCAGAGCTTTGACACTATCCTTTGACTCTGGGAATGCTCAGCACTTTCTAGAATGCAGCTTCCACTTTTCAGTATTTGAATAGTTGTGTCATATTTCACAAGGTTAACCCTTCCTTCTCAGGTGTGATGATACTACAGCTTTGAGATGTGTTTTGTCCCTTTTCTTTAAAAAAAAGAGATTTTGAGCCACAGGCGCCCAGTTGTCAGGTCCAAGCCAATAGAATAAACAGCCTAAATGTTTATTTTAAAGGTAAACGATGGAAGCATGAATGGGTGGTGTCAGGCTCCCAAAGAACCAGGATTTTAGTTTAGCTTTCGTTAGTTGTTAGGTTTTGAAGTTGGCTTAGAAGCTGTTACATCTCACAGCCACAGCTAAAAGGTGAAGTTCTCTCTCTCTCTCTCTACATCAGAATTTCCTCTGGCTGTTTCTATCTCCTGGACTGGAGAAACACTGCATGTGAGACAATCTATTTCACTCAATTTGCCTTTGCCATGGATGTGTTTATGGAATGTTACTATATTGGAACAGTTGTAGTAGGAACTGCAGATGCTGGAGAATCCGAGACAACAAGGTGCAGAGCTAGATGAACACAGCAGGCCAAGCAGCATCATAGGAGCAGAAGGGTCTAGGCCCGAAACGTCAGCCTTTCTGCTCCTATGATGCTGCTTGGCCTGCTGTGTTCATCCAGCTCTGCAGCTTGTTATATTGGAACAGTTGCTGTTTAGTAGTTAAATAATCTATTATTCTGTTAAGTTTTCCAATAGAGTTAAAGTTCTACCAATTCTTCTTTCTTTTGTTTGTATTTTAACTATAGGGTAAGAATAAAGAGAGTTTTGCTTAAAGCTGAGTAGTGTAACCAAATTACATCTGGAATGTAGCACCTAACACTTGCCTTTAAAGAAGATAAAGATTAGTGTCTAGGCCATCTCCTGGACATACTTAAAGGGGTTTGGTCTAGTCCATAACATAGGTTTATCTAGCGCTGCTTCTGATGTGATTTTCTACACTGCTCATTGAAACAGTTTTGTCACCTTGCTTAAAGGTGATGGTGGACTGAGAGAGGTGTTGGATTATGAAGCCACAGATTGTGATACACTGATTGTATTCCTGCTAGATCTGATTTGAAGCTATCCAATTGTGTATAGTGACAGTGATACACAACACAATGAAGAATATTCTCAGTATGAAGGTGGAACTTGGTCTCCACAAGAACTGTGTTAGGAAAGCAGAACTGCTTTTGAAGTGTAGAACTTTGGCTGAGCATAATTAAGAGTACAAATGAATATTTTACGCTGTTTCGGTACTAGTCTGTGTGAATTTTGGCAATAAATTCGAGATGTTAGCGAGCGGGACTTTGCAGGGTAGCTACGCATAGGAATATACAAAAGAGTTAGGAGCAAGGGTCTTCACTCAATTCTATCATTTGATAAGATCATGGCTGATACGATTGTGGCCTCAACTTTACTTTCCTGAATATCCCCATGTCTGTTGCTTCCTTTGTCATCCAAGAGTCTAACTCTTAAAAATACAGACAAAACCAAGTGGTCCATCTACCAGTAGTTCTACCCTTGTTGTACCTCCAACTAACACAGTGGAGCAGCTCACTAAATCATTTGAATTAAAAGACACTTAGAAAAAATTTCCATTCTTGAAAGATATTGATGAACCAGTTGAATATTTGCAAAACATGAGAGTCTACGGTCATCATTACTGATATTTAGTCCAATTATATTTGCACTTTTACAAAGTTAATTCAGATACAGAACTAGATCATAGTTGTAACGGGTGAGACTCAGTCATTCCTTCCCTCTGTCACAGAGAAATAGCGAGATAATCACTGACATAGCAAAAAAAAAAGAATGATAATGCAAGCGTACAAGAGGTACAGATAATTATGAGCAACAAGTACAGGTAAAGGCCCGCACTTTCTTCAATGTGAGTTACACAGGCACTCCACCTTTAGAAAGAAAACAATTGTTAGCAACTGAGCTTCCAGGAAATTTGTGCAGCCTACACAGTTCAGCACTCTGGAAAACAGACAGGCAAGTTACAAATGCTCCCTCTCTTTCACTCCTTCCTCAAACAATGCATTTCTCACCAGTATTTCATTATATTTTGGTAGGATGATGACCAATCAAATGTACCTGAAGGGTGTGCCTGAAGGGCAAAAGAGAAGGTATAAAGCCAAGAAATGAACTCAACCGATACAGTCATAGTCTTACAGCATGGAAACAGACCCGTCGGTCCAACTCGTCCATGCCTAACAACTTTCCCAAACTAAACTAATCCACTTGCCTGCATTTGGCTCACGTCCGTCTAAACATTCCTTGTTCATATACCTGTCCAAATGTCTTTTAAATGTTGTAACTGCACCTGCATCTAACACTGCCTCTGGCAGCTCATTCCACATATAAACCACCCTCTGAAAAGGTTGCCCCTCAGGTCCCTTCTAAATCTTTCTCCTCTCACCTTAAAATTATGGCCCCCAGTTTTGAATGTCTCCACCCTAGGGCAAAAAACCTTTGCTATTCATCTTATCTATGCCTATCATGATTTTATAAATCTCTACAAAGTTACCACTTCTCTCCCTTCAAGTCATTTGGGGCAAAATTAAAAAGGAGAGGCCAATTTTGCCAAACTAGCCAGAAATCTCAGTCATGCCATACGAAGGAAAGTGGCACTGGCATTGACTGCAAACTTCCTCATTATTGATAACACAGAATGGGGAAAATAAATTCAATGATTTGACGAGAGATGATAAGGTAACACATTTCCCCTTGTTCCACATCCATCTACACAACAATTTTAACTTCATAGACACCAGGCTTTCAGGAATTAGATAGCACTAGTAAAGAATTGACACCAGGTAGCTCACTAAGCACGGTGACCCTGAGAATCTACCCTCTTCCCAATGAGATGATTGCCTACAGCTTTTGAGCTTTGTGATGACTAGCATGACTACCCAGGTTACCTACTGCTCCCTTTCACAGTAGTACCTCAAGCTTCCTCCTCCTGGCAGATACCAATGCAGCAAATAAGAGCTGGTGCTCAGTTAGGAAGCAGCCAGAACTAATTGTGACCCACAACTCATTGGAAACACACAGTGCAGCTCTGGAGGTAAAAGTGCTCAGACTGCCATTCATAAATCATGCCTTTCAGATCAGGTGCACCAATCATGAATAATGCTTTTACGATCCTGAAACTGCTGTTGTATCACCCCTTCCACAAATCACTGGGGCTGCAGATCTAAAGCCTGAGCTTTAACTGGAAATCACCAATTAACATCCCAAATTAAAACTACACATTTTTCAAGTCAGGGCACACTATAAAGGAGAAAGAGAGATAGCTTTTAGGTACTGGAGCACTGAAATATTAAACATGGCTGAAATGCTTACAAAAATTCTTTATTTTATCAATTTTTAAAATCACTATAAAAAGAGTGCAACATAAAAGCGGTGGCAAAGAATACTTTAGCTTTCTTTGAAATTAACTGTACTGGAAATACTGAAAGCTTACTAAAAGTGTCAGGGCTTTTGAATTTCAAGTAAACATTCATAACTATCAACATGCAAAAAACTAGGCAATTACAGCAAACTTACAGATTTCTTGCTCTTTAAAAATATGTATATGAAGCACATAAGGTATGTGATTTAGCTACACTGATCAACAACCTCTACATTCAATCTCTGATTTATGCTGAGAAGGCAGTGGAAACATAATTGCTGCAAGGGCAATTGAACCATCCCTAAGGAATAGAAAGAAATTTAATCACTTCACATTAGTGAATACAACTTCAAATGCCATATCCTTACAACTGAACCCCCAGTAAGCAAGTACAGATACAACTATTTTAAATATTCCTTGATGATGGTTTGAGGAAAAAATAATCAAAATTCTCACTCCCGATTGCCGTTCATTGACTTCTGGGCCATTGTGCATTCATGTTCTACAGGAAAATAATACAAATTATTACATTTTCATTAATTAAAGGAAGCCTAATGATTTAAGTTACCTTTCCTCCCTTCTTGAAATGTTACTATTTTTCTACAGAGCGGTAAATGAACATCCTGAAACAGATTAATCATGAAATATTTGACAAACAAGCTCTTAATTGCTGATATAAAGTTTGTATTTATGTTTATTTTTATGACTCAACTATCCTCTTCAGGATAGGGGAAAGCAACCAAATTAAGCTTTACATCAAATAACAGTAAAAGTAATTGCTCACTTTTTTTTTTAAATTGAAATACAATACAAGAGTAATACACCTTCTAACATGCTCATGAAATACAGTAATGATCTCTCAGATTTCCTCATAATAAATATTTCATTAATACATACAATGCAGCTGTGTTTACAACCAACTATTATGCAGTTGTGTGTCCAGCTCCCATAAGTAAAACAACTATTACACATTCAGAGACGAGAAACAGGAGAAAACAAAAATCAATTTGTACCATATGATACTGTGGTCATACTGACGAAAGCTGCAATTTGGTTAGAGAACTTTTAAAAAAACACTTTATGTGCGTCAGAGTAGTTCAATATGATGGTCGAGCTACTATGTCGAACACAATTAAACAGGTAAAAGAGAATAATAGCAAACCGGGGAGGGGAATGGGGAAAGAGGGATGAATCAGGAATGCCAATCAGAGGGATGAATCAGGAATGCCAATCAGTATTTCCAACGTGTTTTGACTGACTGACTGACTGAGGCTAGCCTTTGAAGGTGCAGGCGATAAGAAAACATTGAGGAATGAACACAAACGCCTGGCAAAGCGAGCGCTTGCCTATCTGCCTGGTAGGTAGGCGGGCGGGAGGGCCTTGTCCGAGTCGGCCCGGTAAGGAGGAGGAGGAGGCGGCGCGGTATCAAGTAACAATCCAGCCGCCAGTGCGCCGTCGCTCCCTCCACCCAGACAGACAGACAGACGCCCCTATTCGCCTACCTTCCTGCCGCCACTTCTCCCTTCTCCGTTATGTGTCAGTGAGTGAGACCAGCCCCTGGTCGCTAGGCAGCTGTCCCCTACATTAATGGCGAAGCCGGTTCGCAACGCCGCGGTCGGGTGCTGGGTGCTGGGTGCAGGGAGCTAGGAGCCGGCTCGGGTCACGTGACCAGACGCTGACACCGGCCTTTTTGGAGATCTGGGGAGAAGAACCCCTTCATTTACAGGCACCCCAGCACAAAAAGAACACTATTCCCAGGCAAAACAACTGCAGCCTACAAACCGGTCCATCAGGAGAATGCAGTTAAAGTTTACCCAAGGATTTGTATTAGTTGTCATGGGAACAGTAAATTAATTTTCACTTGGATAAATACAGCATGCTGGCCACATTGAGCCCCTCCACAGACTGACTACACGGTGAAGGGAATTTTGAAAAGAACATGGGAATGACAATATAACCTCATTTGTTGTTTGCACTGAGATTTAACATTGGCATTAAACAATTTTAGCTCATTCACCGACAATAAACTGACAGTGTAAATCCAGTCTAGAACAAACCTGACATTGCTTGCAATGTAAATCTAGTACAACGACAAATTTGTTATGGAAGAGGCTTGACGGCATACGCCAGTACAGATTGCAAACCTTCATAACTTAATGTAATATCCAGAATGAGCCATTGGATCCAACTTGTTCTCTAAATATTTAAATATCTAACTTTCAGAATTAAAACAAATTACTACGGATACTTAAAAAAGTAAACAAAAACATAAATTGCTGGAGAAACTCGACACGTCTGGCAGTATCTATGGAGAGAAAGCGGAGTTAACATTTCAAGCTCAATGACCCTTCTTCAGAACTGTTGGTTTCTGGGAAAATGTGATACATATATATATATTCATAGATCATAGAATCCCTGAAGTGTGAAAACAGGCCCTTCTGCCCAACAAGTCCACACTGAATCTCAGAGCATCCCATCCAGACCCATCTCCCTTATAACCCACCTAATCTACACATCCATGAACACTACAGGCAATTAAAGCATGGTCAATCCACCTAGCCTGCACATCTTTGGAATGTGGGAGGAAACCGGAACACCCGGAGGAAACCCACACAGACACAGGGAGAACGTGCAAACTCCACACAGACAGTCGCCCGAGGGTGGAATTGAACCCGGGTCCCTGGTGCTGTGAGGCAGCAGTACAAACCACTGAGCAACCGTGCCGTGTACATATACACTGATGACAAGGGTCTGGGCCAGGGACTGAGGTGAGCAAATAATGGGCGAAAAGTTAGGCAAAAGAATTGTTGATAGTCAGTGAGGGAAGAAGAAAAACTGACAATGGGAACCATGAGTGGGTGAAAATAGGTTGGCTGTGCTGATAGAAGCCCATTGTCATGACATGTCCTGGGATGTGGGAATGGATAAAGGACAAGGGAGGAGCTGTTCAGGTTCTAACATTATTGAATTCAATCTTGAGTCATGGAGTCAAGCAGCATGGAAACAGACCCTTAGGTCCAACCAGTCCATTCAGAACATAATCCCAAACTAAACTAGTCCTACCTGCATGCACTTGGCCCATATCCCTCCAAACATTTCTCATTCATTTACTTATCCAAATGTTTTTCAAACATTGTAACTGTACCTGCATCCACCACTTCTGCTGGAAGTTCACTCCACACAGGAACCACTCCCTGTGCAAACATACTGCCTCCATGTCTTTTTTTAAATCCTTCTCTTCTCACCTTAAAAGTATGCCCCCTTGTCTTGAAATCCCCTATGCCTCACGATTTTATAAACCTTTGTAAAGTCACCTCTCAATGTCCAATGCTCCCGTCAAAAAAGTCCCTACCTATCCAGCCTCTCCTTATAACTCTAACTTTCCATTCCTGGGAACCTTCTGGTAAATCTCTTCTGAACCCTCTCCAGCTTAATAATATCCTTCCTCTAAAAGGGCGACCAGAAACTGGACACAGTACTCCAGAAAAGGCCTCACCAACATTCTGTACAACCTCAATATGATGTCCCAACTTGTAAACTCAAAGGCAAGCATGCTAAATGCCTTAACCAACGTGCCTGTATATGATGCAAACTTCAAAGACTTATGATCACCTAGGTCTCTCTGTTCTACAACACTACCCAAAACCCTACTTTTAATTGTACAAGACCTGCCCTTGTTAGTTTTACCAAAGTGCAGTATCTTGCATTTATCCAAATTAAACTCTATCTGCCACTCCTCAGCCCACTGATCCAGTTGATTAGGATCTCTTTGTAATCTTAGATAACTTTCTTCACTGTCCACTATATCAACAATTTTGGTGTCATCAGCAAACTTACTAACAATGCCTTCCATATTCTCATCTAAATCATTCCTATAAATGACAAACAAAAGTGGACCAAGCACTGATCCCTGTGGAACACCCCTGATAATAGGCCTCCAGTTCAAAAATCAACCCTCTACCATCACTCTGTCTCCTGCTGTTAAGTCAATTTTGAATCCAATTGGCAAGCTCACCCTGAATCCCATGTGATCTAACTTTATTAATTAGTCTACCACGTGGAACCTTGTCAAAGGCTTTACCAAATTCCAAGTTAGAAGAAACTGTTGAAAAGAAATTCTGGAAAGCTATAGCATCTGAACTGAGGTGATATGAGGGAGTTAGGGTTCTTAGACGTATACCTTATTGATGACAATCATACCCTTTAAACTCAAAGCCTGATTGATACAGTAAGACAATAAGACTATAAGAAATAGGAACAGGAGTAGGCTGTTTGGCCCCTGAGCCTGCTCCACCATCAACAGGCTGATCAAACATCCTCACATCCACTTTCTTGTCCTTTCCCCTTAAACCCTAATTTCCCCTATTGATTACCCGAAGCGTTAACTCTGTTTTTCCTTCACAGATGCTGCCAGATTCTATCTATCACAGCCTTAAATATACTGAAGGACTCTGCCTCCACAGCACTCTGTGGCAAAGAGTTCCAGAGACTGACAACTCTTTGAGAGAAGAAATTTCTTCTCATCCCAGTCTCGGGTACTGGCACCCCTTTATTCTCCCCTGGTCCTAGACTCGCCTGTGAGGAAAACATCCCCTTAGCATTTACACTGTCAAGCCACTTAAGAATCCTATATGTTTCAAGAAATCACCTCTCATTCTTCTAAAAACCAGTGATTAGAGTCCCAAGGTGTTAAGCTATTGTTCATAAGACAATCCCTCCATATCAGGAATTATCCTAATGAATTTTCTCTGATCAGCTTCCAAAGAAATTACATATTTTGGTTTTATAATGTGTGATTTTGTCCAAGGATGGATATAGTGAGGGATGTTTTGGGGAATTCCTTACTTTGCAGGTCACTATAAGGAATCAGCCTTCATTGCTGGCATAACCACTCCCTGCCATCCCCCTCCTGATATAATCAGTCCACCCTGCAATGTACATATGGTGGTTGCACCCCACCTCCACTTCCTGATTCACATCAGACCCACCTCCAGTTAAAGCTTTCCTTCCCTCTCACCTTCACAGCTACCTAGACCATCACCCATCTACAAGGCCAGTTTGGCTGAGTGAGAATTTTCACATTATTTTGCTGATACCCTGGAAATATTCTATGGAAACCTGGTGGTAAGTAAACCACCATGTTGAGTAGAACTGAGCTAAAGTACAGAAAGTAGATTATTATAGTAAATGGTTGTTTTTGTCAGATTGGAGGGAAATGTGACTAGCATTGGGACTATGCACTTTTTGATTTTTATATATTAATGATTGGATTTGGGTTTGATGAATATAATTTTGAAATCTGCAATGACATACAGTTCAAAAATACTGTATAATAAACAAAGGAGGAGGATAATAAGAGATTTAACAAGGGCATAGATGGTGACAAGAGTAGACACTTCTTTAAAATTTATTTTTGTAGAATTTGGACATCACTGGTTGGCCAGAATTTATTGTCCATCCCGAGCTGCCCTTGAGAAGGTGTTGTGAGCTGCCTTCTTGAAGCATTGCAGTCCACCTGCTGTGGGTTGACCCACAATGCCATTCAGGAGGAAATTCCAGGATTATGACCCAGCAACAGTGATGGAACAGTGATTTATTTCCAAGTCAGAATGGTGAGTGGCTTGGAGCGGAATTTAAGTGTGGTGGTGTTCCCATGAATTTGCTGCCCCTATCCTTCTAGACAGAAGTGGTCATAGGTTTGCCTGAGGATCTTTGGTGAATTTCTGCTGTGCATCTTGTAGACAGTACACACTGCTGCTAATGAGCATTGGTGGTGGAGGGTGTGGATGCTTGTGGATGTAGTGCCAATCAAGCGGGCTGCATTCCCTTGGGATAGTGTCAAGCTTCTTGAGTCTTGTTGAAGCTGCACTCATCCAGACAAGTGGGCAGTATTCCATCACACTCCTGACTTGTGCCTTGTAGATGGTGGACAGGCTTTGTGAGTGTGTGCGGGGTGTGTGGGAGGGGTGGTGGTGTCAGGAGGTGAGTTCCTCGCCGCAGCATTCCTAGCTTCTGACCTGCTTTTGTAGCCATTGTGTTTATGCGGCAAGTTGTGTTGAGTTATCAATGATAACCCCCAGGATGTTCATAGTGGGAGATTCAGCGATGGTATCACCACTGAATGTGACGGGGCTATAGTTAGATTGTTGCTTATTGGTGATAGTCAGACACTGGCATTTGTGTGGTGCAACTATAACTTGCCACTTGTCAGCCCAAGCCTGGATATCGTCCAGGTCTTGTTGCATTTGAACAGTATCTGAGGAGTCGTGAAAGGTGCTGAACATTGTGCAATAAGCAGCGAACATCCCCACTTCTGACCTTATGATGGAGGGAAGGTCTTGATGAAGCATCTGAAGATGGTTGGCCTGAGGACAGTACCCTGAGGAATTCCTGCAGAAATGTCCTGGAGTTGAGATAACTGACCTTCAACAACCACGATCATTTTCCTATCTGCCAGGTATGACTCCAACCACTGGAGAGTTTTCCCCCAATACCCATTGTTTCCAGTTTTGCTAGGACTCCTTGATGCCACACCCAGTCGAATGGAGCTTTGATGTCAGGGGCTGTCACTCACACCTTACCTCTGGAATTCAGATCTTTTGTCCAAGTTCAAACCAAGGCTGAAATGAGGTCAGAAGTTGAGTGGCCCTGGCAGAACCCAAACAGGGTGTTAC